TAGAAGTAGACACGCGTTCAATTTAAGTAGCTCACACACATCCATGTGCATCACCCGAATTCTTCATATCTGGAAAGTGTACATAAAAAGTTTTAAATTAATTATTTTTAAATATAAATTACTTTTTTGAAAAAAATTGTATGAGAGATTATCTTTATTTTAAATTTTATTTCCCACTAAAATAATTATTTAAAAAAAAAAGAATCAAATCTAAATCATCTAAATAGTTTGTGGCTGGTCTATATTTGATGAGTTTGGGGTGCCAAAAACCTCATTCCATCACAAGGCAGATATTGAAGAGTTGTCAGAATACCTTTAAATGAAATGGGAAAGGAAAAATAAGAAATGAGATGAAGTGTCTTTGAAGAACTCCATGTGGAAAACCTCTGGAGCCAGCTGGGTTTTGAGTCATCGCTCTCATAGCACCTGATGAGCTCTCTGCTATAACTATGGAAACACTGCTTCAACCACAACTCATCACTCTAATCATCAAGTATGCACGACAATAATCCACCCAATTATCCTCTTCTTGGGTCTAATTAATATTAAATTTTCTCATAACCAAAATATATAAAACGAAGATAAATCTAAATTAGCAAGAGATTTCACTAACCCATTACCTACTATATATAAACTCCTCCAACCCTTAATATAGGACCTAGTTATTAAGTTGATTTTGGTTCTAAATATAAGATCTATATATTTATCATATTTATTAATTTTTTTATATTACCCTATTGATACTCTATCAACCATAATTAAATAGGAAATATATGATGATATTAAGTAAGATGATTATGGTGTTTTAGGAAAAACATGTCATATTTTTTATAATTAACTAACTTACTAACTTTCTTAATTTAATCAAATTTGTTAAGTAGATATTATATTAAGGATAAGAGGATTATATATATACGCACACTTGAAGAACTCCATAACCCAAAAGTTATCAACAAAGCATTCATATCTAATGCCGTTGAAGCCAGATGAAGCAGCGAAATGCATGAACTGTTGCTCTTCCTCTCTCTGCCCCCAGGGCTTTGAGTCATCATAATAAGGAGGTCAAGTTAAGAGATGCTCTTTGTTGCAGCAGAAGTATTTGGTATTGTGGGGAAAACTGCATCCATTACAATCATATTTCATCTTCTGGGATTGCACTATAACAGTTCTTCAACAGCTTCAAGCACTTATCATCGTTCCAATCATGAAGTATCCACTACCATTAATGAATCCATAATATCATTAACCTCTCATCGTTAGGGATAATATAGTTTATTAGCGAGGTGAATTAGTAAATTCTTCAATTCCATATAACTCACCTTCATAAAGATGGCATCCCCTTTAGGCACACGCTTTCAAACATATCTCCCCCCACATGTTCGACTCCTGCAAGATAAAAATTAAAGTTTGATGTTTTAGTACCCCATGAAACTCACATATAACTTGATGAGCTTAATTAAAACATTAAAAGATAAAAAATGGGTCATACTAGAAAGTAAAGCTCCCACACACACACACACACCAGGATAAGAAGGAGCGCGTTGGATGACATGAGGCAAGTCGAAGTTGATTCCTTGCATATTAGGATACCTAGAAGTGATCAAGCTGAGAGTAACCCCAAGACCAAGCATGTCCATTCAGCTGGATAAGATGAATATAATACAAAAAAAATTAGGAAAAATGACATTGAGGTCCCATGAAAGACAAAATACTACAAAAATGTGCCTTCAAACTTAGTAATTGATCAGAAGTCCCAAAGGGACCTAGCTGTAGTAAAAGAAAACGTCAAAAGTCTATATTGTCCCTGCTAAATCTATGGTTAATTTCATCTAGACTCCGTCCATCTCTTTAACCCCAAGACCAAGCATATACATTCAGCTGGATAAGATGAAACTTTTCTAATATTCAAAACATGGCAAGAGAGGGAAACTGACCGGCTATCTATGAAGACCTTATCTTGAAGCAACGCAATGAAAGGGCCCACCAAAGACCCACCAGTACCAGCATTTCGCAGAAAGAATTTGGCCACCGGTGTCAGGCTATACAACAGCCGGAAACATCTCCGTCCGGAATTTTCTTCATGGACGACGACGGAACAATGAAGCACAGAGTGGGATGCCAGAAGCCGGAGGACAGGGTCCTGTGCAGAAGGAGATTCAGCATTCTTGCAAGGAGCTTTCGCCGTGAAGAGCCTTTCGCTAGGACCAGCTCTATTAATGACGTCAAAGACGCCGAGCTCCTATGCAGGACCACGGAAATCGCAGGAGAATTTGCCAGCGGCATCGCGTAGGAGAAGCTCTCTTTTTCTTGTTGGTCTACTTCTACTGGTTTTTGCTTCACAAGTTCACCTTGGAGAAGCTCGGACGGAGAATGGGATTCATGTGAGAGATCCATTTTGAGTACAAAGATGAAAAAGCACGATAACTAGTGTATTTGGCACTTAGCTAGTTCATTAAGAGGATTCAAGAGTTCTTGTGGCCAAGTCTACAGTGCAAGGAGATTGGAAATTAGTTTCTACCATTGGCGGTAGCTATCGTGAGCTAAAAAAAAAACAGATGAAGAGAAGGATGGATAATGTATGTGGTACGTTTGTGTTTGATTCTGAATCAATAATTGACAGATTTATGGAGATTTGGCCAACCACAAGAGAAAGTTAAGAGTATGTTTGGGTAATTGAAAAGAAGGATTAAGGTGGAATTTGGTTTAATATAATACTACCTCCAATCCTAATTATAAGATCTTGTTTATAATTAGAACCGGGGGTAGTATATATGACTGGATTACCAGTATGTGGCTTGATAGTTAATTTTTTTTAAAAAAAATAGAGAACAAATATTGATTGCAAAAATATCCCAGCAGAGCCATAAGTTCTCTAAATATCTGCTCAATGTATTATTCCTGAACTAAACCCAAAATGAAGAGACCCAATATATCCAAATGCTGCAAGTTGCTAATTGAAGATAGTGATCAATATAATGTGTTATCTGGAAGGGAGGCCATTGTAAAAGGATTAGGTGGGCCTTAGTTCCCCTGAGAAGATTATTAAAGTGTGTTTGATGAGGCGTTAATTGGAAAAGAAATATTAATAGATGCATATATATGTATATTAATATTAAAAGGATGGCATGCTTGTTTGTGAAATGTTAATTATGAATGAGAGCCATGGTTAGCACAAGATACAGTGATGCTGTATTCCACATTTCAAACTATATATAAGCCCTCGCGCATGAATCAAACCCTTCCACATTGTCGTTGCTTCTAGGTTCTTCCTGGAAACTTGAAACGCCGCGTCGTTTGCGGAGGGGTTAGCACGCACCTTCACCTCTTTTGGACGTTACGATAGAGTGTTAGAAAGCCTTCTGGATCTTCTTTGTTATTATTACTACTATCATCACCTCCTATGCTTAATATAAAAATTAATTAAAAATTAAATGTCATCCTAAGTATAAAACCTTGATCAATTTTGTTTTCTTAATTTGCAATTCATTTTTTTAAAGTATCCTTATTAATTACACATATGGAAAAAATTTCTATTTAAGAGTAATCATGACTAAAAGAAGTAGTTTAAGAAAATTAATTCATATTTATTACAAATAATTAATTTAATTATTTTTTTAATTTACTCAAATTAATTAGCAGCTGTCACATTAAGAAATGGAGGTAATATTTTATAATTTCTTTTGTATTGGGCATTGGGCTAATGACCCATAAATGAAAGGCTCTCTATTTCATTTTCAATTTTCTTTCTGGTAGTAGCCATCGGCCCATATAGTTTTATGATGGGCAAAAAACAAAGCACTATTATAGTTTTTATATTTGGACCAAAATCAACTTAAAAATTAGATCTTATATTATTAGAGATATTAGTTTTTTGTTCCTTCAGAATTTGTTGAATCGGTTGTACTACGACCGATTTATAATTGTGTGCCTTGTTATTGATTTATATAAAAGTTAAAGTATATTTTTTATCTTTGAATTTTATACAAAGTTTTAATTTGATCCTTTAATATTAAAAAGTATATTTTTACTCCATTGACCTTAAAACCACTAACAAAAGTTATGATATTGAGATCTTGAATGTTGATAAAATATTTTTAAATACTAACATATTAAATTTAATTTTTAAAATAATCATGATTGTTATCAAAAATCATCATTTACAACCAACAATTTTAGGGTTTAATGATTAAAAATATATTTTGTACAGTGAAAGGACCAAATTCAATCTTTATATAAAGTTAAAAAACTAAATATATGTTTTGGCCTAAAAAACATGTACTTCCAAAAATACAAAAAATAAAGTATTTAACTTAATTTTTGTGGAAAAAAATTAGTTCTTTCCGAGTCAAAGCAAAACCAGAAGTAATCTGTCTGCAGTAGAAAAAGAGTATTGACAGTAGAAATGTAAAATTTTCAATTTTTAAAAGCTCCCCATCAAATTATTTTACCAAATAAAAAAAATTTTCGGCACCTTTTTACCAAAAAAAAATACTTGTCTCTAATCATGCATTTTATAATTTTATAATATCTATTAATAAAAGAATCTAAAACAACTCTCTGTTTTATTTTACAGTGACCGTAAATGAAAATAGCCCAAATATTTAATTATCTAGCAATTCTTAATTCCACTTTTTTGTTAATTAGTCCTTTGCATAAGCTTTAAATTTAGAAAGATATGTGATACATTTTATAAGATTTAATTTAGGTTTGTCTTTACATTTAATACAATTTCTTTTAATTCCACCTTTAATTATTTATTCTCTTTCCTTTTCATAATCTCTTTTATAATATTTTTCACGCATTTCTTTTATCATTTTTTTAAATTTATTGTGAAGACATATTTAAAAAAATATTTTTAACATATTTATTACTTTTGATTAATTTTAAATAATTATTTTTTATTCATAAATTAGCTATTTAAAATTTATAATAAAAATTAAAGAGAGTAAGAGAGTATTTATCATGTTGCTCACGGATCTAATTACGTGAATCAATAGAGATATTTGTCAAACAGGGAATTAAAATTTATTAACCATGAAGAACTGGGTCAATCATATGCAGATGAAATTAAACGGAGCTATAACTGGGCAATTAAATTAAAAATTAAAAATATGATTTAATGATTCAATCAGCCTTAAAAAGGTCGAGGCAAGTTTCCTTGGCGAGGCCTCTGTTCCAGAACTGGTGGTAGTATTCACCGTAGGTGAAATTCCGGTACTGCGCAGGATGATGAGGGTCTATGAGGTCGGGTGCTGGACCAATCACAGCGTCCGGTGATGGGCAATAGAACGTTGGGATAGACATCCTCTCCTTCGCACAGTTCACCACTGCTCGGTGCAACACACTCTTGTACCTGTCGTTGCTGATCGCCTTCACCACATACCAAAACCAAACCAAACCAAACCAAACCTTGTATCAGCATTTTTTTTTTTTTTTTGCTTTTTGACTAGATAACATTATGCCATATTACTCGTCAACATTTTGAACATTCAACTTTCAAATATTCATATTAATTTTAAGCCACCGGACAATAAACATATATGATCAAACATTATTTATTGTTTGAGAGCCACCATCAAATGCCTACCTTTGCAGACCAACTTTATAGGCTTGAACTATAATAAAAATAGGCATCAGTACTTATTTTTCTTTCGGTTTCGCACTTTCTAGAAAATATGAAAACCATTCGCCCAAAGGACTAACAAGGAGTGTCTGTCAAAAGAGTAAGAAAGTTAGGTCCATCTTTTATTCCAAGCTATGAAACACAGACACTACCGCACCAAATTGATCATGTATATTTTAAGAACGTTTAATTTGACACGTAAAGTGAAATAAAATTGAAGTTTTGCATCTATAAATGAAAAGAAGGATAAAGATATTAAAATATATACTCAAAACGGCAACAGCTTTCATCCCATTCCTTCTACCCACTATGTACTTAGTTATCATCATCTAATTACCGCAAGGTTAAAAGACCAAAACGGAGAAGTAAAAAATAAAAAAGAAGAGAAAGTGAAACTGCGAGTGGAGGGAGGTACCTGAACCTGGTCGCCGATATTGACAGTGAAGGTGTTGGGAATAGGATTAACGGCGAGCCACTTGCCGTCCCTGAGGACCTGTAATCCCGGGACGTCGTCTTGCAGGAGAAGCGTAACGGCGTTGGGGTCAGCATGGGCGGGCAGCCCGTAGGTCAGCTCCGGCTCTGGACACGGCGGATAGTAGTTTATCGCCATGTGCTGCCCGTGCTGCCCTAACGCCTTGTTTATGTAATCCTTCTCTAACCCCAGGCTCTCTGATATCGCCTCCAGCAATCTCAGCGATAACTCCCTCATTTTTCTGCAGTACTCACCCACATCTTCTCTGCTTCCCAAAACAAACCCAAAAAACAAAAAAAAAAAAAGTGAGATCGATCCATATTTGATCTCCATGGGACTCAACTCCTTTTTCTAGAATTAACGTGCTTAGTTTGACAGTCGTGTAGAAACCCCCAACTGAGTAAAGGGTTGGTTGGATTTGCCATTGGATCCTTTAGATGAGATAAGTATATAAGGAGGGCTTTATCTTTATTTATGTAAAAATACTTATAAGAACTTATCACAAGTAGATCCAAGCAAGTCCTAAATAATAATTAATGGATTTTTATGTATTTTGTAACTGAGTATTCCTTTGGTTCTTATTATAAAACATCAACTAAAAAAGTATTTTTGATACCTTTTATAAGGCATTTGTTTAATTTCAATTGACATTAAATATTATAAACTCCTGGTTACTAAAAAGTCTTAATGACAACTGAGTATTAATGCTTAGTCTTTTTTTTTCTCCTATTGGAAGCAAGGCATGTTGGGCACTAAATATGGATATCGGGTATTAATACTTAGTCCTTTTTTTAAGACATTTTTGCTTAGTTTCAATGAGCATTAAATATGTTTTTATCTTACTGTTTTTATTGGTATTTATGAATTAGATAAAAAATTGACTTATAATAAGGAGGACCAGGAGGAGAGTAACTGACTTTAAGTGGTCCCACAAACCCTCGTTTGTTTTCGGAACTAGTTTCGGTGCATCTGATTTGGACCGTTTATGTCTCATTTTGATGGTCCAGATTTGATTTCTTTTAATTAATTATTTCTAAATGAAAAACTATTATTTTTTTGAAAGAATGATAGTTAAAAAATTGTCTCTATTTTAAATTCTATACATATTAAAATAATCATTTTAAATAAATAAAAATAAAAAAGAAATCAAATCTAGACCATCAAAATGATATACAAACGGTTTAGATCTGATGAACTTAAAGTGCTCATCAAAGTGATGATGAGCACCGAAACTCATTCCGTTTCTTTTCTCCCTTCGGGAATTCTCTGAATCATCAAGCCTGTTTAATTGATTTCATATGTATCAAAATGTACCTGAATGATGGAGGGTTGGTGGGCCATTCATGGATGTAGTCCCCAAGAGGATGACAGAATAGCCTCAAGAAGTCTCTCCAGTTTGCAACTTTCTCGGTTTTGACATTGAAACTGGTGGACAGCCTCGTCGTCTTTGTTGCATCGTCGGAGTAGCTCTTCATCCTCTCACTCTCCGGTAGACGGAAGAACTCCCTAGACACATTCACCATCTTCTCGACCACTTCCTCTGGAACTCCGTGGTTCACAACCTTCACCAGAACCACAGAAATTAATTATTACTGATCGAAAGTTACTTGAATAAACTCTTCCGTTATATCAGCATGCATAAACGTCATATGGAGTTACTTTTTTCCCTCTGAATTGTACCTGAAAGAAGCCGTAGTTTCGGCAGGCGTCATCGATCTTGCGGATGGCGAGAGAGCGGTTAGGGCCATCGAGATCTTGAAGGTCGATGAGAGGGATGCAGGATCCCTCGGCGGATTGAACGTCTTGAAGATTTGGACGGTCGCCGAGGGGCCTGACGAAATTAGAGGGTACGTGGCTCACGGAGGATGCCAGGTCGGTTAAGAGGGTCGGCTTAGTGGCGGGGGCCACGTCGGCGGCGTTGGTGGTTGCGGCGGCCATTGCAGAGCACTCTGCTTAAAGGGATGCTAGCTGAACTACAAATGGCGAATCAAGTAGCATGTGAATGTGAGGCTTGGATGCTTAATGTAGACGACGGTGAGTGAAACGCTTCTATTAATACAAGCGGAGGCCCGCATTGAGGCCCGTGACCGACTCAAATCAACGTAGTATATTACGTAAGCACCATGACGTAATGATACTCCTCGGTCCTTAATATAGACCCATTTTGAGTTGGTTGGTCCTAAATATAAGACCATTTCTCATATTATCAATTTCTCTAATTACCCCTATAAATACTCCCTCAACCATAATCAAGTAGAAGAGGGAGAGGGAGGTAAAAAGATGATTATGGTGTTTAGGAAAAATGTGTCACTTTTCTTATAATTAACTAACTTACCTAACTTTCCTTAATCTAATCAAATTAGTTAAATGGGTCTTATATCACTACAAAAAAATTGATTTTATCACCGCTGAAAGTATAAAAGTCGCCACTGAAACTTTTCAGCGGCGACAAGTCGCGGCTGAAAGTCGTTGTCCGTAACAGCCGTGGCTGAAAACTTTCAGTGGCGACTAAAAAGGTCGCCGCTGAAAGTATCTTTCAGCGGCGACTTTTAGAAGTTTCCGCTAAAAACACTTTCGGCGGCAACATTTGTCGCCGCTGAAACTTACCAATGCCACATCATCATTGCAGGTGCCACGTCATCATCACCAATCGCCACGTCATCACCGCCGGTGCGATGTCATCGTCACCGGCCGCCGCGTCATCACCGCGACTGCCACGTCATCGTCATTGGCTGCCACATCATCACTACCACCTCCACGTCATCGCCACATCACTCCTTCCCGCCACATCATCATCCAAATATTTTCACCTTAAATGTGTCTTCTTCAAGGTTCGAACTCATGACCGCCTCCTTTCGTGTCCAATCTTCTTGCCGCTGAGCTAGATTGAATTTGTTTATTAATATTGTAAAATAAAATATATATTTATTATATTATACTTTCAACGACGACAAAAAAAGTCGCCGCTGAAGGTCTACTTTTAGCGGTGATGATACTTTGTTGCCGCTGAAAGTGTTAGTTTCGGCAGCGAACTTTCAGCGGCGACAAAAAAAATCGCCGCTAAAAGTCCACTTTCAGCGGCGACACTTTTGTCGCCTCTGAAGGTCTTAGTTTCAGCAGCGAACTTTCAGCGGAGACTAAAAAAGTCACCGCTAAAAGTCCACTTTCAGCGGTAACAAAAAAAGTCGCCGCTGAAGGTCCACTTTCAGCAGCGAACTTTCAGCGGCGACGAAAATGTCGCTGCTGTTGAAAGTCCAATTTCAGCGGCGACATTTTCGTCGGCTCTGAAAGTCTTAGTTTCAGCGGCGACTTTTTTTGTCACTGCCGAAAATCGTCGCCTAAAGTCTGTTTTTTTGTAGTGTATTAAGGACCGGATGAGCATTTGATCATTTGTCTTATTCTCATCTAGGAGAATACTATAAAGCAAAATAGTTAGGGGCAGTTTGGTTTACCTAAATAACACTTCTAAAAACATGTTTTCATATAAGTTAAGACAAAATTTATCTCACAGATTTATTTTGTATATTGTAAAATTATTTTTAAAACAATGATTTGGTTTTCATCCAAGCACCCGTTTAATCTAATATAAAATAAAATAAATTTATGGTAGATTGGAGTTTTTTTTTTTTTAGAGATAAGGTGCTTGAATACCTCAGAAGTATCCACAAAAAGTACATAACACTTGAAAGTTTTTTTTTGCTCTTATATGTCTTAAAAATTTATTTTTGTAACAAAAAATTCAAGCTGTTATCTACTATTAAATTTGACTGTCAAATCATGAAGTTTAACTAGTATCTTTAAAAATCAAATTCAACAGCGGATAATAGTTTATGACAAAAATACTATGAAATAAAAATTTTAGGGCATGTAAGAACAAAAAAAACTTTTAGATGCTGAGTATACCTCCAGAATATTTAAGCATCTTACTTTTTTTCCCAATAATTGTGCATGGTATAATTCGTCCCTCCTGTATGTGTATATATAAGTATAATTCGTTCTTAGGGAGCATATTTCATGTTCATCACAATGATAAATATGGAGTACTCATTACAATTTGGACCATCTATATTGATTTTGGATTTAAATTTTTTAGATATTTAATTAATTTATTTGTCGTAATAGATACATAATTTAAAATAAATATAATCTTATAATTAACACCTTTTCAAATAATAAATTTATTATTAAAAAAATTATATACTAAAAATTTAAATCTGAACCATCTATATCACCTTGGTTTAAATTATATTATAATAATCACCATGTGATGCTGATTATTGCGATGAGTTTCTTTCTGAACAAGAACTCCCGTTCCAAGCCGTCCGTCTCTTTCTGTTTTTACCAGCAAAAAGGGACGTCTTATTATTTTTATTTTTTTTGGACTGAAAAGGGACGTCCAATTAAAAGTATAGATCATAGAGAATGGACCATGAAAAGTAGGGGTGTTCAAGACTGACCCGTCCCGGTCAGCCCGTTCCGGTCCCGGTCTTATTGGGACGGGACAGATCCGTCCTGAAATTTTTCGGGACGGGACAAACCGGGACGGTCCGTCCCGTCCCTTTTTTTTCCTTTTTTTTTTATTTTTTATATAAATCATTTTTCATATTTTTTTAAGATTTGAAACTATTGTATGAAACTATGGATATATTTATTTAGAGTTTTTATATTTGTTAATGATTTGAGATTATTGATGATTAGAATTTTTAGCAAATTTTTATTGTGTTAAAAGCTTTTGTTTAGAGTTTTTAATGACTATTATATGTAATATTTTGAGCTTTTGTTTAAGAGTGCCCAAACAAATAAAAAAAATAAAAAGATGTTTTTATAAGATTTAAGCTCAAAAAATAAAAATAAAAATTAAAAAAATTAAAAAAATAATTTCGGGACGTCCCGGTCCCGTCCCGGATCCGTTCCGTCCTGACCGGGATCGGGACAACCCCGGGACGGGCCGGGACACGGGACAGAAAATCTGTCCCGTTACTGTTCATCAGGACAAAACAGGGACGAGCATGTCCCGGTCCCGATCCGTCCCGTGAACACCCCTAATGAAAAGCCACGAGGATACATCGGACAGTACGCATCTCGAGATGTTTTGTGAGTGCAAATTGAGGGTTAATAATTTTTATTTTAAAAATATAAATACCATAAATAAAATTTAAACAAATAAATTGAAAGATAAATCTGTATTCACTATTCAGCATTCTGTTCTACCTGATCTTTTTTATGATGCATCAGCACTCTTATTTTCTTTTTTATGCATACAACACCTTAAAAATTAAAATATTGAATGTAACTAAAAAATAATATCAAATACTAAATACATAAATAAAATAAGATAAAAATACTGGATGTACTATAAGGAGTATTAAATATACCAAGAAATAATATCAGGGTGCTGATCCACTTTTACCTAAGTTTAAGTTGAAATGTGTAGTTTACTTTGTACACATTTTTAAAGATTCGCAGACGGCCTATGCTTTTCAAAACAGATAACTAGCAATTTATTTCTGTCATTTATGTATTGCACTCAACGGCCTATATTGATTATACATATTTCTGATTTTGATCTCTAAAGAAGAAATTGTTGTTTTTTTAGCCTACACTGGGAACAATATTTATTGTGGTCCCTTCCGAAGAATCAGACGCTATGTGATTTTTGAAGGGTAAATTTAATCTTTGCAGATAAAAGATAAAAATGTAACATATCATGGTCATATTAGATTTTGGGTATATCAAAATTATTTTTCGCACGACTCATACTTAGGATGAGATTTGTTAAAGTTTAAAAGGATGTTTGAGTGAAAATAAAACCATAGTTTTAAAAATAATTTTACGGTATACGAATTAAATATGTATAAGAATTTGTCTCGATTTGTGAAAAAATATTTTTTAAAAACATTTCTATAATCTTCCTAACACCCCTAAATTTGAGCTATCGAATAGTGGCAAAAAAAATTGAGCTATGAGAAGAAAAGTTTTACACGTACGTAAAAATTAAAACACCACAGACCTTCTCCTTCATGTCCTGATTATATATAAGGCAAAGTTAACTGCTATAATTTTATAGTTCTTGAAAGTGATAGCTAACATCTTTGAATTTTTTTTTGGGGGGGGAATTTTTTCAATTGTGCCTGTTGCTAGAATTTATGACCACACAGTCCTATTCATATTTAGGATCAAATTTAACTCTAAAACCTTCTGCTCCACAATTAGGACTGAAGAAGATTTATTATATTTTAAGCTTTTGGGTTAAACCAATTCATATGCCTCTAATACATCTTCCTAATGTTTATTTTTTAATATTGTATTTAAATTAAAACCATGTACATAATCTGTATGGAAGATGTTTGTGGTTTTCTATAGGCATAGGCATGCAAATAATAGATCAGACTAAAAAATAAAAATAACTTAAACTAATTAAGAAGATGTCTTGATATTCTCAGTGAAAGTGAAAAGAATCAAACTAACTAGCGTTGGAAATTCTCAACCATCAAGCAGGAAATTCTTGCTGAATCTGTTATAGCAAAGCCTTTATTTATTTATTTATTTTTTGGCCAGCGATAGCAAAGCCTTTATATTCTGAGGACATAACACATTTTTAAATGGAATGCTTCTCATTAATTAAGGTTATGAGTCAAGAGGCATATATTCATTTCATTAAATAAATATATAAATTCAGGCAAAAATGTTTGACTTTTTATAATTTTAAATAATTACTGTTTTTTGAGTTTGGCACAATTAAAGAATAGGATAATAATATTTTGTCAAATACCAAGGCCACAATTAAGTGGGAAACACGAATTTTGTTTGAATGACCTCTTGCCTCCGCAGGATATGATTATATAATTGCTGATGGAGTTGGGTATCGCAATTAATTAATGCCATAAAAATTTAAAGGAAAATTCCCAATAGTGCGAAACTATTTTTCAAGTTTGATTTTATCACAACACCTCTTATTATTTCAAAATGATAATTACTTTAGTGTACATGGTTGAATTGAAACTAATTATATATATATGTTTTGCTTATTACTACCT